AGGTAGACCTTGTGTTTTTTTTTTTTTTTTTTTTTGCAGTTTTTGGCCAGGGCTGGGTTTGAATCCGCCACCTCCAGCAGCATATGGGGCCAGTGCCCTACTCCTTTGAACCTCAGGCGCCGCCCTTTTTTTTTTTTTGAGACAGTCTCACTGTCTCCCTCTGTAGAGTGCTGTAGAATCACAGCTCACAGCAACCTCAAACTCTTGGGTTTAAGTGATTCTCTTGGTCAGCCTCCCAAATAGCTGGGACCACAGGTGCCCGCCACAACACTGGCTATTTTTTGATCTTAGTCGTCATTGTTTGGCAGGCAGGGCTGGGTTTGAACCTGCCAGCTCTGGTGTATGTGGCTGGAGCTCTAGCCGCTGAGCTATGGGTGCCAAGCCAAGAGACCTTGTGTCTTTAAAAGAAAAAAAGACTCTAAAATTAGATAGTAGGCCAGGTGCAGTGGCTCAGGCCTGTAATCCTAGCACTCTGGGAGGCTGAGGTGGGTAGACTGCCTGAACTAATGAGTTAAAGATCAGCCTGAGCCAGAGTGAGACCTTGTCTCTAAAAATAACCAAGCATTGTGGCAGGGGCCTGTAGTCCCATCTATTTGGGAGGCAGAGGGGAGAGAATCACTTAAGTCCAAGAATTTGAAATTGCTGTGAGCTATGATGCCATAGCACTCTACTGAGGGTGACAAAGTGAGACTTTGTCTCAAAAAATAAAATGAAATAAAATAAAGTAAAATAAAATTATATAGTGGTGTTGGTTCACAGTTCTATGAATATACCAAAACCACTGATTTTTTTTTTTTTTGAGACAGTCTCAAGCTGTTACCCTGGGTAGCGTGCCATAGGGTCATCATAGCTCACAGCAACCTCCAACTCTTGGGCTCAGCAATCCTTTGGCCTCAGTTTTTCTATTTTTAGTAGAGATGGGGGTCTCGCTCTTGCTCAGAGCTGCTTTTGAACTTGTGAGCTCAAGCAATCCACCTGGCTCAGCCTCCCAGAGTGCTAGGATTACAGGTATGAGTCATCATGCCACAGAATTATACACTTAAAATTTTAGGTGGGTTTTGTAGAATGTTAACTTAGGTAGTTGGGTTTTCCAGAATGTTTGTCCAATTGAGTGAGGGGGAGGCTCAGGTCCCCCATCCATTTGCCTACTTTGCCTGCCCTAGCATAGCCTTGTTGGAATCAGGTGTGTCTCTTCATCTCGTGTATGGCTGTGTTGGTGTTCCCAAGGGTGTACAAGGTGACCCTATCTCCTGGGAAGAGGGGTGCACGGCACCTGCTCTCAGTTTCCATGTTATGCCTTTGGGTGCCTGCTGGAGTAAGTTAACCCAGGGACAGAGGCATTCAGGGACTGTTCACATGAAATTTAGACAGGCTATGCCCATCTTTTCCCTTCTGCCCTGATTGGGGGATGGGTGGTCCTATACCTGAAGCTTCCAGTTGCAGACCCTGGTTGCTGGGTTGCCCTCTGGCTGAAGCTCTTCTTATGTAAGGGGATGTTCATTGGGCCTGCTGACCCTGGGGCTCCAGGAGGTGGCCCAGAGCAGGAGTTGGTGCTATCCGAGCTGGGTGAGGCTTACACACTCATGGGTGTGTGCGCTTCTCCCACTGCATGTGCCTGGGGAAGAATCAGCATTGGTGCCTCAGGGCTCCACCTTCCAAAGATAAATGTGGCTGGATGGGGCTACTCATGTTGGTTTCCCTGCCTCCTACTATATGGTTTGGAGGAGTGAGTGCTGTCCTCAGTGTCCTGTGGGCTGCTCCTCTGTCCCCTCGCTCTCTGCCATCTGAGGCATCTCTCTACAGCTTGGAGTCTATCTCCCACCCCCCTCAGCTTGTTTCCTTCTGTCCCTGTTTGTAAATCTCTGTCCTTTTGTCTTGAGTTCTTTGTGCTCTGCTGCTGATGGCATAAGGAAGGGGAGTCCAGGAGAAGCCTCCTTGCTCCACCATTTGAGGTGTGGGGCTTATGCTGGTTCATAGAGGTCGCTGTGCTTCCAGGTACTGAACCCATTTGTATGGACAGTCAGGCTCACGCACATCCATGTGCCACACATACAACACCTACATGGATGGCCACCCTGGGCATCTCATTCACATACATGCAGAAGCAGGGACACCCACACTGTTGGGAGTATGTGTTCACACACAGGGAGATCAAGCAGTGACTTTTCTTGACATACCAGGGTTGTCAAGGATGTGGACCACCACCCTCAGTGGGGATGCTGGGGCAGGACATGTCCTTTCCCTCAGGAGGAAGACACACGACCCCTCCCCTGGTTGGGGAGAGTGAGGACTGCTAGTGCAGTCTTTCCTCCAACAGGCTTGAGTTGAAAGGGGGCCCTGGCTTAGAAGACCTGCTAGGCCAGAGGGAGTGTTAATGTGTAGGGGTTCACTTCTAGGGTAATTGTTCCAACTTTCCCTGAACACACAGGATCATGCAGTAAGAGGCCCTGCTTAGCAGGGTTTAGGGAAGATGGAATGGTCAGTATGCAAAGAGATTGTTCAGTCCTCCTTGAGGGACACAGGGCTAGTGTGATGGGGCCTCAGAGTTGGGAGTCTTGAGATGTGAGTCCTGGGCCATCCTGCCCTGGTCATTGATGCTATCTCTGGGCAAAGCTAGACAATTTGTCTTTCCTCCAACACGCTTGAGTTGAAATGAGGGCCCTGGAGGTCCTTTGGACCCCATGCCTCTCACCTGCTGTCTGGGAGTGTGTCCTGGGAGGATGGAGAGTCATGGATTTCAGCAGGGAGTCCGGCTGGAGGGAGTGGGAGGGAAGGGCATGTCTAGGGATCTTTGGGGGAACTGCTCTCCCTCCTTGCATACCACAGAGGTGACTGAAGGCTGAAGGCCTGAATGGCACAGGTTGTACCAGGCACAGGTTGTGGACTCTCCTAGCCCAGGGGACGCAGCTCAGGTGGCTCCTTCACAGCAATCAGCACTATTTCTCATATGTAAACAGCCTTTCCTATAGTAAAGGTTTGGATCACTGAAACTCCTCAGAAGAAAAAGTTTCAAGTTTAATTAAAAATTAAATATACTGTATTGTATATATATAAAAAGGCAAAGTAAAAAATACAATCTGCTTCTAGAAAATATACTAGAAAAAAAGGGTAAAAGCCTTTCAAAAACTTAATCCTGGCAGGGCCGGCCAACAGGCGCCCAGCCTGGGCGCCCTGGAAAGCGTGGGACATGTGGGACTCTCCTAGAGTCCCCGGATGGAGGCCCAGAAGCCTGGGTAGGTGGGGTGCAAGGCCAAGAGTGACCTTGGCTCTTAAGGGGCTGTTACACGAGGCTGAAACAGACGCTGAGGCAGAGCAGAGATTCACAGCGGTGTGGTGGTTGCGGAAGGAGGCGCTGCGAGGGCAGGGTTTGGGGGAGGTCTAGCCAGAAATGCACGCGCTGTAGTAGACAGCACTGCTGGCGTCAGACAGAGCCGAGATCAGGCTGCTCTCCTCCGGGCAGGACATGGCGCGCGGGCCCAGTTTGGCCAGCGCCACGTGGTATGGGAGCCCGGGGGCGTCGGGCCGAGTCCGGCTGCAGTTGAGGTACTGGTCGAACTCGGTGAGGTCCACATCGGCCCATAGGTCGGCGGCAGGGCCCAGCGACTCCGCGCCCTCCAGCGGCGGAGCCTCCGGAGGCGGCGACAGCGGGCCGGGGTACTGGCCTGGCGCCCCCAGGGCGCCATAGTAGAAGCCCGTGAGCGGCGCGGGTTGGGGCACGGTCCTGAGCGCCTCCGCCAAGGGAGCCCCAAAGCAGCCACTGGCGTCCCGAGGCAGCTCTGCGGGAGCGTAGGGTGCACAGAAGGCCCGCAGCGCACAGTCCTCGGGCGCCGCGGGCGGCGGGAAGAAGGCAGCTTCACTGGGTTCCAGGCCGTCCAGAGGGGAGCGCTCAGGCGTGGGTAGCCCTAGGCCGTCGAGCTCGGCACCCAATGAGGGCAGCTCGCGGAAGGCGCGAGCCGAGCCAGGCACCGCGGGGAAAGGCTCGGGCGGCGGCTGCAGGGGCGCCAGGCCCGGGAGCAGGAGGCCGGGCTCCAGCCGCCGGGCCTTACGAGCCTGCTTCTTGCGGCGTGGCCGGTACTTGTAGTTGGGGTGGTCGCGCAAGTGCTGCACACGCAGCCGTTCGGCCTCCTCCACGAAGGGCCGCTTCTCTGCTGTGTTGAGCTCCTTCCACGCTTTGCCTGCGGGCAGAGGGTGCCCGTCAGCCGACTGCCGTCGGGCGGGCGCTCTGCAAGGGTATGGCATTGCCTCTCTCCGTCCCGGGCCGTACCCCTGGTCCACCCCGCACCAACCCTGCTCTAATCCTATACCCCGGCACTCTTTTCCCTGCCCCCGCCCCGCCCCTGCTCACCCAGCATCTTGCTGAGCACCGCGTTGTGCAGGTCCGGGTTCTGCTGAGCCAGCCGCTTGCGCTCGTCCTTTGCCCACACCATGAAGGCGTTCATGGGTCGCCGGATGCGCGACTCGTCGGCTGTCTGGCGTTCCCCGCGGCTAGTTGGACTGAGGCCATAGCGCCCCGGTTCGGGGCTGTGCTGCGGACTGTGCTGCGGGCTGGGCGGCGAGGCAGGCACGGCGGGGACGGCGGGCACGGCGGGGGCAGCGCGTGCAGCGGGGAGGGCGCGTAGCTCAGCTGCGGCCCCGGATCCCGGGGCCCATGCACAGTCGCGGCGGGCGGGCGGGTCGTCCTGTGCGCCGTAGCCGGGCGGCGATCTCTGCATTCCAGCTGGGCACGACCTGGGCGGAACAGAGCGCGGGAGCGCGGAGGACCGGCGGAGGGCTCTGTGGGTAGGGCAAGGAGTGCACCGGCGGGTGGTGGTGGGGACGGCGGTGGCTTTGCCCCGGGCGGGAGCCCAGATATAGCGGCGCGGGGCCAATCGGTGGTGGGGCGGGCGGGGCGGGGCCGTTCCTTCCCAAGGGGCTCCCTTTCTTCTCAGCCGGCCGATTACTCCAAGGCCTCTCCTGCTCACCGTCTCTGAAGGAGAGACTCCGGAGTGGGCAAGGGCTGCGGGTGTGGGCTGGAGCTGACAGACTTTCAGAGCTCAGCTGCCGCCCCTCCCACGGAGTCAGATCCCTGGTGGGTAACTGGGGGCGGGCAGCTGCAGCCAACTCTGGCTGCCACCTCCTACGTGAGATTAGGATGGGAGGAGAGGGCCTTATTTTAACACCAAGTTCTTGGGGAGGCTGCCTACCCAACAACAAGTACGTGCCTCCTAGAGTCTGGCTTACATGTAAGGAGCACCTTGGGAACAGTCTCCTGCACCGTGGGGAAGCTCTCATCACCCAAAGGGCACCCTGCCCCCCACGCTCCACCACGTGCATGCTGAGCTGTCAGCACCTCCCCCAAGTTGTCCATGGGCTAAAGAAGAATGTAGCCTCAGTGTTTCCTCCTCTGCTCCCAAACCAAACCAACTCTGAACAAGACAAAGCTGATACTGGATAGGAGAAGGTAACACCTGGACAGACCATTATGAGAAGGGAGAGTGCTCGCCTCATCCTGGCTCCCCAAGGCCTCATGGGGTGGGAGGCTGGTAGGCTGAGACCTGCAGTTGCTGGCTGGCTCCCTTGTCCTGCCCGGGGCACTATAGCAGTAGAGAGAGAAAAGTTGGACAGAGGAGCCAGGAAAGGCACAGGAGCATGTGTCCCTTCTCCCTGGTGTCCCCTCCCCATGGCCATCTGATCTGGGAAAGTTTCTCTCCAGAGAAGGCTCTAATTTTTTTTTTTTTTTTAAAAGAGGTGGGTCTGGTATGTTGCCCAGTGTGGACTCAAGCTCCTGGGCTGAAGCCATCCTCCTGCCTCAGCCTCCCAAGTAGCTGGGACTACAGGCATCTCCTTGGTGCACCAACTCAATCTTCTTAATTTTCACTGTCTGGCCTGTAGCTTCTGTGCTTCAGAAGCTGAACTGTCCCTCCTGAGGAGGTCCTCTCTTCCTCCTGCCAAACATGGGTCTGTGTGTGGGGGAGGGGTTTCAGAATGTCCAGCCCCTGTGCTTGGCTACTCAGCCAGGAAGCTCTGTAGCCGCTTGTGTCAGGAGCTCCAACCCCTAGTGTTTGTGTGCCCCATGGTTTGAGGTCACAGTTGTCAGTTACTCTAGGCCTGTATGGCCAGAGGCTCTCAGTTTTGTCCAGGTCCCCTCTAGCCCACACACAGTCTGTGTTTATGAATGGGGTGGTCCATGGGTCCACAGCATGCCTGGTGGCTGTTCCTGAGCTGACCCAGGAAGGTCAGTGTACCCTGGAGGCTGTTGCTGTTGGGTGTCTAGCTGTTCCCTATGTCCCCGTGTCATGTTCTGTTTGTAGGTCATGGCAGTGGCCATTCCGGGATGAGGTGGTGATGGGCTGGGTTTCCTGGGCTGATCTTCAGAGCACCAGTTATTTGAGTTTGATCCATAGGCTCCAGTACCTTAAATAAGGACACTGAGCCAGCAAACCAGAGGCAGCTGGGGCCCCAGGCACTAGGGCCCTTGGCTTTTCTCAAGGGTGGTGGCTGCTGGGGTGGATGGGCTCAGAGGCCTTTCCTAAGTAATTCCAACTTCCCTTTGAGCAGGTGTCCTGTGGATGGTGGGCACTGAGCCTGGACTGAGTGTGTGTGGGTTGGCCCGGGCAGCCCCAAAATGGTGTATATGGGGGACTTCGTGAAGAAGACTCCAGGTTGCAGGATGGCTCCAAAGAGCTGGGACTGCCCTGACACCATTCAGCCAGCACTTGGCAGCAGCCACCTCTATCCACAGCCCTATAGGGGCAGTGTGGGGTCACCAGGTCCGGGCTTAGGTCTGGGGTGATGATTGTGGGGCTTGGGAAAGAGGCCTCTGCAGCGGCCCCTACACATCAAGATGGATTTGCAGTACTGTGGTGTTCTGCCTGGTCCTCTGCAGCCCCTGAGAACCCAGAGTCATCCAGGTAGCTGGGAGTGTAATGGTGGGCCACATCCGGCATTACATCATTGCTCCTGTCACCCCTACACCTGGAGCCTAGCGCTGGCCAGTGACCCTCCCTCTGAACTGTGCTGTGGAACTCAAGTGTTGGCTGTCACGTCCTGTGAGCCTCCTGGAGTGCTTCCTTTCCTCTGCAGGGTCGGGCTCACTGCCTAACAGGGGTGAGGATGGCAGCTCTGGCTGCTGTACAGATGGGGTGTAGACTGCACTTGGGGTGGCCCTGACCCTGAAGCTGCAGGGTTGGGGGACTTGGTAGGGCTGCTAGGATAGTGTGGGTGTGGTCAGCTGTGGTGGTGGGGTGGGGGTAGGGAGGACATCCTTCTGATGTGTGTCTGTGTGTGGTCTGTGTGGGTAGTCTGTCAGCCTAGTATGGGTAAGGTGGGCCCTAGTTCTGACAGCCGCCCAGGGCCTTGGGAGCCAGACAAGCTGGACCCCCCTCCAGGAGGTGGGGAGCCTTGGATAGAGGATCAGGGTCCTACACAGTGAAGTATGGCCCCTGTGCCCAACAATGAGGGGTCACCAAGGCTTCTCTAGCCATTGAGATGCCACCTCAGCCCTGCCCAAAGCGGGGTAATTCATGAGTTCAGCGGCATTCCTGTGTCTCTGAGCCTCACCTCAGTCTGGCCTGGCCCAAGATAAGGAAGGCCCTGCTGCCTCACAGAAGGGGTCTGTAAGTAACCCCCAGCTCCCACACAGAAAGAAAGGGGGTAAGCTTATTCTTCAGGAGAGGGGCTGCTCTACCTATGGAATGGACACTGTCCTTGCCTACTACCTGCACCCTTTCCTTGGCCTGGACTGGGCCCCAGCCTCCGGGCGAGGCTGTAAAGGATGCTGGGTAGTCCCCCTCGGTGGCTGTGGGTGGGGGCTGAGCTTGGCGCAGCTCTGGGCTGGGGTAGCGGGACCTCCCAGGCACTGTCTGGGCACAGACCTCCCAGGCTCCCACCAGCCTGGCCCCTGCGGCTACAGGAACAGTGAGAGGCTGGGACCAATTACGGAGTCCTGGGAGGCTTGGATCCTCCCACTCCCCAAGGGTGGAGGTGGGGGTCCCTGTCAGAGGCAGTTTCAGGTGGAGAGGATTTTTTGGTCTCCCAATTCCTTGGTTTTGGAGCTGGCTGCCCAGTTCAGATCATGCCTCCTGCCTCTCTAAGCACAGCTCATCCCTGGGTTGCAACTGCAGACCTGGCCTGACATGGCAGAGGCTGCAGGCCTCCATGGGCCAAGTGTGGCCATTAGAGGGCTGGGTCAGCCTCCACCTTTCTCCTGGGGTCAGGGTCTCTGATACTTTAATACCAGATGGGCTCACTCATGTATGTGTGTGTCTCTTGGCCAAGGACAGGTTGGTTTAGGTGGACACTGGGGACATAGGGTCCTCCTGGCCTTGTGCCCGCCTGTTATCAGTCCTGGTGTGAGCAGAGCCACTGGACTTCTGAAGAGCTGCTGGCCTCCATTCTGGGAGAGGGCAGTGGGGTAGGCAATAGGTGCCCTTGCTCTCCTGGGCAGTGCAGGCACAGAGGTGTCAGGGCTCAAGTGCTCAGCTGGCCTGGGTGATGGCTCTCAAGTGTTGACTGTGGGGTCAGGGTTTGCCGCTACGATTTGCTAGTCACATGGACCAGAAAGTTGCACACAGAGCTGGGGTCCTGTGGGTACCAGAGTGTTAGTGGGGTGTCAGGCTGCTTGGGAGTCTAAGGGTGTGGGTGTGTGGTCCGGTGATATACAAGCTGTCCCTGAATTCTGGGGGTGTTATGCTATGATGGTCTTTTGCCCAGGGTTTCATTGTAGGCTGTGTCCACTTTTAAGAACACTGGATGAGAGCTGGGGTGTAGAGGCAAGTTTTGTGAGCCCTGGAGGGGATATTGTGCAAACTTTCGGGGGATGTTCTGCTCTGGGGGGGTGGTTATAGGGCCTGCTGTGTGTGTGGGCCTCCCCCAGCGCTACTGGGCAAAATCTTCGTGGGAGCCAGGCTGATGGGGCTGGGCTGTGGCTGGCTGGGTTCCCATAGCAACAGCAGGGCGGGGCCAGGAAACAGCCGCAGCTCAGGAAGGAAGGCCGTCCTGCCTGAGCAGAAAGCCCAGGGCCAGACTGGGCTGAGCAGGCGCCAGACATTCTGTCCAGCTGCCCCACCCTTGGCCAGCCCACCTTGCAGTATGGCTGTCCTTATAGAGCTGGGTCTATGCATGACCCTAGTCCTGTGTTTGTGTATGTCCTGCATTGTAGGGTGTGTGTCAGCACACTTTGGTGCCCAAGGCCCCTGGAAGGCAGAACCTGCAGTGACTTCCATGCCCTGGGCTGGCTTGGCCCCTCCTTCCCTGCCAGACTGGGAAACAGGGACTGGGGGGAGGAAAGGACAGGAGAGGGCACCCTCAGGTGGTCACCTGTCCACCTAGCTACAGCTCTGCAGGTCCAGTAACCTGCAGCTGTGCATTTCTTTTCTGTTGTTTGTCTTGGCTTTGGTAACAAGTGGCTTTTGGTGGCCCAACCAGTTGGGGATACTGAATGGGCTGAAGGAGCAGGTCAATGTTGTTGGGGGTCACCTGTCCCCATCTGATGGACAGAGATCATCCATCATCCACTTGTTTGTTACTGAGCACCCACTGTGCACCAAGCCCACCTCCAGGAGGTAGGCATTTGGCAGAGAGCAAAACAGACCAAGTCCCTGCCTGTGGGAAGCTTCCATTCTGGTGAGGAGAGACAGTCAACAAATGCACAAACAAGTCAGAATTTGGGCTGCTGGGTATAGGAAGGGGTCTGTTTTGAGTGTTCACTGCCTATTCTTTTTTTTTTGAGATAGCCTCAAGCTGTCCCCCGGGTAGAGTGCTGTGGCATCACAGCTCACAGCAACCTCCAACTCCCGGGCTCAAGCCAGTCTCCTGCCTTAGCCCCCCAAGTAGCTGGGG